GCAAACAATGAAAGCATATATACTTAACAGAAACATTCTGCACTTCATTTACCATCACCGTCTTTAAATCCATACCAATTTTACGAGATTTTCCTTAACCAACTGAAAGCATCTAAAAGGTCATCTACCTCAGAACGAAATACCAGCGGTTTCCAAATGTTTTGAGCAGAGACCATTGATAAGCTTCAAATCTTAAAACAAAGCAAAGAAACAAATCCCCCCCAACACAACTAAATAATGAATATAATGTTATATAACATGGTTCAACATATTCCTTTAGGTGTCCAGATGGTCAAAATTACTAATGTATGTGTAAATCAATTTGAGAATCATGCTCTCTAGAAAGTTTGTAAGCAAGAAACATCTTTGTTTCTAGAAAATAGAAAAAGGCAAATCTACTACTGAAGCCCTTACTTGTCTTCTGATACGATAGACCTAAACTAACTAGCCACAAAAAAAACCCCAAAACTATTTCTATGAACATCCTGCTATGTCACAGCAACCAAGGAAAATGTGCAAATCCAATTCATATTGTGTTTGTATTCTCTCCTCTACCAGTCAATGGTGGGGAAAAATCCCAAAAAGCCTCCTCTCCTCAGCCCTCCTAAACCCTCCCACCAGCAATATCATTGCTGGGAAAAAAAAAAGGGGGGGGAGGAAAAAAAAAAAAAAAAAAGAAAACAGTGTGCACACTAAGAATGAAGGACTGCTTACTGCTTAAGAACTTTTACATCTTAAGCTTTTAGACTAATTTCCAAAAGAAGAAAGTATGGCTTGAATAAGAATTGTGCTGTAAATGCCAACGATAATTAAGTTAGCTTCAGCACTTCAGTATTTTTTAAAAAACATTTTAAATGTGTAAATTTAGGAGGTGTTACAGTAATTCCTGACAGGTATGTATAACGTATAACCATCTGGAAGATCTTGGTAGCACACTGCAATTCACCACACAAAAGATCTCTTTCTTGAAAGCTGTCTAATACTTTGAAACACAGCTGAACAAAACATACCTGCTTATCAGTTTTCCCAGTATTTTAATAGATATTTCAGCTCAAGCTAATGAGTCAGAATAAAAATGGCGCACATTCCAGTAAAATTTGGTTGCAGTGTATTAGGGTTTTACTTTCACTTTTTTTTTTTCTGTACTGTGCCTCCTTCCACGGCCCCACACACAAGTACTTGCAAAAAGCTCCTACCAGCTCTCTGAAAACTTGTGACTCACTGATCTATCACTTCACAATATTGAGCCTGTGTCCATACAATGACACCCAACAGAGACCCACTCTAATTGGGCAAGGCATGGAATTAACAGTAATAATAAAAACAAAACAAAAAAATGCAAACAAAAAAAGGCAAACAAAAAAGACTCCCCAAAATACAGAATCAAGCAGAAAAAAAACAAAAAAGAAAAATAAAAACAACACCACACACCACACTCTTAAACACATTTTATCTTCTATCCACATAGCAAACTACCTCACCATACAGATACAGATAATACTGGAGGAAGAGAGGTCAAGTGACCAAAGCCACAGAAGTCTGCAGCAGAATCAAGACCAGAAACCACATATTATCTAATACACCAGAAGAGAATATCCCAGTATTTTAAATAGCTAGGTATGCCCAGTAAAGTTAGGGATGTTTTTTCATCCATTTTTTATTTTGAATGTTTCTGTACTTACTGACAGAATCTCAGTACAGGGCATCAGAGTTCCGTTTCCCTGCTACAGCTGATGACACCAGAATGCCATAAAGAAAGCACAGAAGGAGGCTCCCTGAAGCGACTACAACAGTGCTGATGATGCCATGAACACTCTGAGGTGGAAAGATCTGAATGACCAACTTCAGTTTGCAACATTTCTAATGAAGTTGATTTATACAGCATCCATAAGATTAAGACTTCCTTAATTTGTCCTCTTCACCACCCCCACCTCAAAAAAAAAAAAAATCACATTGCAATGGATTGTTCATATGTGTAATCCCATTCTGGGTGTCTAAAGACCACACTTTCCTTTTAACCCGTTCAAAACAGAAGTCACTGCTGTATTTTTGGGAAGAAGTGATGGCTAATCACTCCCCACAGAAAGAGAATTCTAGAAGCAAAGAATCATGGAAACACAGAACAGCACAGGTTGCAAGGGACCTCAAAAGATCATCTGGTCCACCCTTTCAAGGGGAAGGGAGCCTAGGTAAGATTATATAGCCCCCTGTCCTACTGCACCACAAAAACCTCCAGCGATAGGGACTCTGTCACCTTCCTGAGGAGGTTGTTCCACTGATTGTTCTCAATACAAAAAAAAACCCACAAAATTTCTTTCTCATACCGAAATGAAACTTCACCCAGTGCAACTTGTACCCATTGTCCCTGTCTTCTCTACGTGGCTCCTTCTGAAGAGAGAGCCTCCATCCTCTTTGTAACTGTCCTCTAAGTTGGGGAGAAGCCATTGCAATAAACCCACTATTGAGAACAGTTGTTTCCCTGGAAATTCTGTCATCTTTCTCAAGAATCAAAGGAATAGCACGGGCGAAAAAATTCCTGAGATGCTAAGAACCAACTCTTCCACGGGAATTAATTTGAATTAAAGGACCTCAGCCAACTCTCAGTTTTTTACTCCTAAATTATTTCTCATTTAGATGTTTAATTGCTGAACTCTTCCCTGATTTCTAATTGTAAACAACACTAGTGTTTGTTTACCCCTTTGTCTAAATGTTGTACCCATCACCAAAATTGGATTGAAACTGCTCATATGCAAACATGTGCTTTAGAGTACAGATTTTATTGTTACTGAATGACTTAACTAAACCAAAATTAATTTTAAAATGCCAGGTCATACAAATAACTAGTAGGCAATAAGTAAAATAAAAATAAATTCAAAATAAAATAAATAAAATAATAAGCACATGTGTTTTAAGATTTCCTCCTTTAAGATTCTCCATATAAGAAATCTGTATTTGCAGTCTTTAAAGATTAAGCTGAGAAAGGAATTAGGTAGGTTTCACAACATACGCATCCAATCATTATTATAGAATATCATCCCAAAACTAAATTGATATTAGGTCTCAAAACCTAGAAAACAGTCATTAGAAGTAGAGGGAACAAATTCAATAAAGTATGTTATCAGCATGATCAAATTGGAGAGGGTAGAAAACAAACTTCCAGCTTCTTCAAATGCCCATGTTGTTCAGCCGACATCCTGTACATTTGTACTACGGCACCCAGCCGGCAACACAGGTCTTGGCTACCCTGTCAGCATGTGGTATTCCTCCCTCTCTGGCTCATTAGGCTCAGCTAATCAACTTGGAAAAAGAACAGACACATTCCTTAAAGATCCGCTATAAACCACAAAGTACCCAGTTAAGGTATCGAAACAACAAATCAACTGAATGAGGTTTTCATAATATAGTTACCCTGCTTCTTGCAAAGCCCGATAAACAGAAAACTAATTTTGGCACTTCAGTCATTTCAAATTATCACAGTAGTGACTTCACAGTTAATCACTATGCTCTAAAATGGACTGAAAAGAAATCAGTCTTCATTTTTCCCCAAGGTCACAGGGCTATCTATAAAGCTCCTAAAATTCTGGTGTGATTTCGCTTGATTTCTTTTTCCTGTCCTCGTCCCACACCCACCTTTCAAACAGGTTTTGGAACTTTATTCTGTCCCCTTCTAAAATACAGTTACTCATGTCTGACCAAGACCTAAATAAGTTCACTGTTAAGATACATTCTAAAGAGTGCTTACGCTGCATTTTTTATTATTATTATTATTAATCATGAGGTTTTTCCTGGTGACTTCCACTGCTGCCAGATACACTTCTGAACAAAAATTACTTTTGCACATAAAGTTTTCTGTTTTGCACAATGGAAGTATGAAGCCTTTTATGCATAGTAAAGGTTGCTAAGAGTTCAGAAACTGGCAGCATCTGACATTATTTTTTTTCTGCTTCAGCTACATTTACATCTATTCCACAATACCGTGTCCTGCTCGTGATGGATTTTTAAAAAGGTAAACTAGAAAACAATGAAAGTTGTGAAGCAGTTAGGTACCAATGTGTGCAGTATAACCCAAACCACAGCAACAAAGAAGAACTAATAATTGAGCCAGAGGTATTTGCTTTCCTTCCTTCCCACTGTAATCACAGTCACCTTGTAAGATGAAGTCTATAACCAACAGCATCCTCACCCCTTCTTGAAAACACCAGAACTTTCCCTAGTCCTATATCCAGAAAACTACACTATTAAAAGTATTTAGGTACAGGGTGTTGATGCAGAGAAATTGAAATAAAAAAAGATTAAAAAGAAAAAAGAGGTGAAATCAGGACTGAAAAGTATGTCCTAGGCACATACAAAATCCGTAGTAATAAAGGCACACGGAAGCAGTAACAGAGTTGTGCCTATCTGATACGCAGCTTCACTTTTCTTCCCCTGCCCCTTCTGAATCACAGCCACGTATAGCGACTCACTGTTCCACCACTCTTTTGCATGCCTTTTATCAGGATTCAGCACTAACATTCTTTTAGAAGAAATGAATAATGTATGTGAAATAACGTATTTTAAATACTTTAATACTAAAAGAAAGTGGGTTTTTTTCTGTTCCTTACTGAAAATAGCACAAGATGAAACCCATGAGGAGAAGTGATGGGGAGTCTACAAACTACTGTGAAGCAGGCCAATTTGACACACAGTTTACAAGAATTACATTAGTTGACTAATGTCCCAATATTAAGTTAACCTTACAATCACGAGTACTGAAGGTCTGCATTTATGATACAGAACACTCCAGTGTTAATAATTCTTATATCAATTTTAGCAATGTGAAAATTTTGTTTAATGTAACTGCTCATACAGCAAATTAGCTACATTAATCTTGCTTCACCCACCAAATCCGATTCCCGTGTGGTTTATACCCCCCTCCCACCCACACAATGAAAGACAACCACCCCCCCATTCAAGCCATACCCATGTATAATACACAAAACATAACTGATACAAAAACTCACTTTCACTGGACAACATCTAAAATATGTAAATACCTGTTCCTGCAGGTCGTAGTCATAGCTATCATGCAGCAGAAGACTGAGGACATACCGAGTATAAATCATGGCATCAATGCCACACTTCTCTAGCTCTTGTCCCAGCCAGGTCTGCACTGGACCCAAAGCATGTAGCAGAGACATTTCAGAAACAGATACAGGGCCTGGATAAGAGCTTGAGGAGCTTTCAGATGGCAAACCATCCACAACAACTGTACAGATAGGGCGCATGAATCTAGGTGGTTGGCATCCTTATAACGTGAAGCATTTTCTGTAGTTGATATTCCGTCGATATCTGGAGGTGATTTTCACTCCAGTAAATAGGAGAGAGGCTTGACTTCTAGGACAATCATTTATATTTCCTGGCAGTTAGCCGTCTAGAGACGAACATCACTCTTCAGGCATGACCAGTGAATAAACTAAATCCTAATAGCAAACACATATGTAGATGTGTTTTTCTACCTTAATGTCACATTGAGGCCAGATGCAAGTCCCCAGCAGGACCTATAAAGAGGAAAAAATGATAAGTTGTGATAATATGTAACCATACATGAATAATATTAAACAGTGAAAAAAAAAATACCCAATGTAGAAAGCTGTCATTTACATACTGCTTAATCCATCTATCTAGTACATCTATTCAGTGTCATACAGGAATTATTACAAGTTTAAAGGTGACATTTAGAAAAGCTACTTTTTAATGCAGGAAGAGAGACTCTTTCATCAAAGACTTCACAACTAATCAGTTGATTGAAATGTCTGTTTGACCTAGCTTTACGGGAAAGCTGAGATTTTATTACTCTCACTATCAGCTGGAAAGAAACCACTTTGATTAAAAAAAATCCCAAACCAATCTGTTAGTTTGCATAAAGACAAGCTATGTATTTTGCATCACCAGAAGACAATATAATCCCACCATTTTGCAGTCATTTCTGTTTTTGGAATAGAAAAAAGTGTCTTGTTTATAAAGCACTGAATATATTAAATCCATCCGGCCACAAGTTTCATAAATCCTACCACTAAATAGCTGCTCTCTTCAGGCTTGGGTTTGAGGCTTTTTTTTTCCAGTTTCAGTACTTGCCTTGCCTCAGGACTGCAAAGCATTTTATCATCCAAAATCTGTCCTCATAAAAATATAAATCTCTGGAATAACTTAAAAACCTTGAGCAGAAAATAATTTATCAGTGCCAGAATTAACATTTAACCCTCTTTACAGAAAGCATACACCAGTCTTACCTGAGAGCTTACACTCTAAAACATACCCTAAAATAGATCAACCATCCTAAGACTCACACCACCCACAATCCCAAATTAACCTCGATAAATAAGGGGCAGAAGGTGCAAGCACCACACACATAGGCGTTCTGACCTCTAATCCAGAAGAAGCCAGTCCATAAAAGGCATTTTTGGACTGGTCTGCCAATCAACCACATGCCAGTCTGGCATTTGTGTAGGCCTTCTCTCTCCTCTCCAGCATCTCAGCAAGAGAAAACAAAGCTCAAATCCCAGCAGGAAATAGCCCACCACTGAAAGGAAACAAAGACTGAAGGATCCAAGCAAAATCTACTGTTGAGTTTCAGTCCCACGGCAAGATGACCAACAGACTCAGAACAGACATCACCTACTGTAACTATCTAAACTATGTACTGTGTGCAGCATCTCACGTGGGCAGCACGTGTTTTGTGGCCAAACAAAACTGAAAGGTGACCTTGCAGTCAATACCTATGTCCACACAACAAAACACCGCAGTTTTTAGGAGCTTTCTTTGCATCACCACCCAGGTACAACTCTATATCCCCGATCTTTACTGAGTCAATTGAGACATCACCAGAAAGAAACCTATTACAATCAGTTACTACAGAGTTGACAAAGCCCTACCTGACGGTAACGTTCATTTTGAGAAAGTAGGTCACACAAGAATATTCAATCTTTGCATGTAACATGTTTGTATTAGTCTGAATCTCATAAGTAAGCACAAATAACAGTAGATAGAAACATCCTGCACAGGGCCTGGAGGCTACTCCTTCATCACACCTTTAGAGAACACAAAAGTATGAGAAAAGTCTAATATTGTGACCACGATACCCCAAATCAAGAGCCACAAGTCCAAACTCTTATGCAGTTCATATTCTCTCAATTGTTGAAGAACAACATTCCACTCAAACATCTATTTCTTCTTTCTCCTGTTGGCACTCCACATCACAGCATGTGATGAACACTCTCCCTAAGTGAATGCCACAATCCCAGCCAGCTCCTCAAACCCCATGTTTCAAAGATGTGGGAAAACCGACACTCTTCATTAATCTTTTTTGAGACATGGAGCAGAACTACCTGAACATTCAGGAAATCAACAACTTTTTGACAGAGTTGACAGAAAGTTCCACTGGAAAAGGCAATTATGAAAGGGTAGACAGGAAGGAAAATCGGGAGGGAAAATGTGAGAAAACAACTGAACAAGAAATTCATTTATTCTAATTCAGCAGGTCTCCCATCTATCCATAATCTTTTATTTTACAAAGTGTACAGAGAATGGAGAGGGATAGCAAAATTCCAACTCAAACCAAAACGCAAAGCAAAGGGTTTCTGGATACTGAGTGACTGCAATCAAAACTTACTTAGACACATGGTTTAGATCCTTAGAACCTAGTAAGGACTGAACTTACGCTTCAGCTTTTCCCTGAATGAGGTGATAATGTGGCCTCTCTTTTCTATCTTAACACTTCTTTTCATGAGGCATTTGCGAAACTCCATTCTTGAGAACTAGGCTGACAAAATCTGATTTACTTTGGCTGACCAGTTAAAGCATGTCTGGCTTTTTTTAGATGAGGAGGAGAGGGGGGACAGTGCGAGAGAGACAGGTTACCACAGGAATTAAGAAATGAGACAACAAAAATTTCTATGATGTTCCTATATTACCACATTTTAACATTATTTTAAGTTTCAAATATGTACATGATATAAAAACTGGCAATCTGAACAAAATTCTGAAATAATATTTGAGAGTTCTCATTTTACAACTCTCAAGTACTTTGTTTTACTGAAAATCTTCACCATATTTCCATTATCTTTTCGAATTAATAAAATTTCATGCAAACTGAGTATTTTCCCATCCCAGTACTACAAAGAGGCTTTCCATGTCAAATTAACAGAAGTCACTCAAAGAGCGAACATTTCTGCTAATAGATGTGAAGCTCAATTTTAGAGATAACATTTTCTGACAAATAACTTATCCCTTTTCAATCTTTTTCACACTGTCTTGTTAATAATAACTTTCTCCATCCTCACAACGACCATGGCTAATCTGAACAGGGAGGCTACAATACAGCCTAAGCAACTAGTGCAAGGCTAGTTGCTACTTTAACTACCAAGTTGAAAAGAATTCTCCATTTCCAACTATAAAATATGATGGAGGGATATGTCTTGTAATGAAAATTACCAAATAAAAATCTACACGTCTCTACCAATTATTTGTGAACACTACTGATTACTTGCAAATCCTAAAGTAAAAAACAATGAAATTCTTTCAAAATAATTTCTACTTACTCCACTTCCTAGTCTGATTTTTCCTTTTAAGTAACCTTCAATCTTTGTAATACTAATCAATGACCTTAACAACGTCACTGTTAGATAAGCTGTCAACAGCTTCACAACTATAAGCACAAGAGCCAATTTATGAAAGGTACGAGAATACCTGTAAAGGAATGAGAATACAATATTGTGTGAACACTCAGATTATCTTAGAATAGATACTCTTTCTCAAAATTCAACTCAGTGTGACAGTCACTAAACATTCTTTTGACCTAAAATAGACTGCAGAAGACATTAACCAAGTTTTAGTCTTCTGAAATCTAGTGATGGAAAAGCAACAACTTCAAATAATCTATAGCAAGAAACACGAAGGAGGACCAACTGTACAGAAACTGAAGCTGGAACACTCCAGGTCTGTTCCCTACAACACGTTTGTTCTTGCATGGTAAATCACCTTTTCTGAAGGCCAAATAGTCCTAGGCTTCCCTGTAAGTGAAATGGAATATGGGTATTGTCATAAGAAATACATTAAATCATTTTTTAAAAAAATTTAAAGCATCTCGGTACTACAATAATGAGACTCACACAAACACCTTCTTGTGACAGCTGTGTCTAAAGCAATGACAGTGTAAAATTACACTAACATTACAAAAGAGTGCAGTAAAAGAAAGTGTAATTAAATCACTCTTCAATGAAGCTTGATACAAGCCCACCAAGAAACTGCTAGCATAGGTAACTCTTCCTATCAGACTATCAACAGAAAGAGTAGATTGACTAAAAGCTCATGCCAGGCAAGATATTTCCATGTCTTCAACAGCTTTTGTTCTCCGTAACTCCCTTTCATACAAAAAAAGAAGTTCTTTTAAGGACCTTAAAAATAAGGCCTTTCTTCCCCAATCATTTCTAATCTTGGAAAACAGTGACCAAAACCAAACCACAAAACCCACTGAATTAATCTAAGGTAACCTCATCTGTATTTTATCAGCACCAAGAGGCCTCTGAAAATTACATATTCACACAGCTAGGTTCTTAACAAATATTTTTTGTCAATGAAAAAAATAAGTAAATTTAATGCTTTAACAAGCTTTCAAGCTTTCTTAAAGACATACCTACTACCAACTCTTAAAGTACCAGAAAATATTGGAATAGGAGAGTAAAAAACACACCCCTTACTATTCTCCTTTCAGACAAACTAAAGGTCCGCAGACTATTTCTTGAACATCACAAATAGGTAACATAAAAAGGAAGCAAATTGTCTACAGATTAAATTCACTACACTTACTCAGTGGAAAAAAAATTACAGGATCTACATATTGAAGGAAATTGAAAACTAATATGTTATTTATTTGTATAACCTGCAAATAAAGTCTCTCAAGCCTCAAAGTTACTCTTATACATTTTGATAAATCTACTACAGAAGTCGATCTCTTAAAGCTACAGATGCTACCTTTTTCCTTCTTTCCATTCCCAAAAGGGATTACACCTGCGTTTCCAGTGCTCCATTCTGCCTACTGCTATATGTTAACAACTAGACCAAACACATTCTCATATAATAGTTAAGTCATAACTGCTATTTTATACAATTTCCTCCTTTATTGTGTGAAATATGCCAGTACATTACAGCTCTCATTTTCAAGTTTTTTTTGCCCACTATAGTCTTTGACAATGTATGACAATTTTTCAATACACAGAGGAAAAAAAACTTTTATAGAATTCTTTTGGGTTTTTTTAATATGGATATGAGCGTCCACATTTTTTAACCAGGACCAAGTTTTTTAGAAGTAGCATTTTTTTTTCCCAGAATGGTTGTGTTAAAAGCAAACAATCCTTCCTCTCCTCTACAACTACCTGCAGCAAAAATATGCAAATCCTAATTACTATAAACTAAAGGGAGAATTTTACCAAGTTTGGTTAAAAACATACTAAAATCACATCTTCATTTCAGTCCCCTGTAGAAGACTGATAATCAAAA